CCAAAAAGTCTTCCTCGGATGTCATCTTTTTAGACTGTTTCAATGTTCAATATAGACTTAGTTTTTAATACAATCAAAAAACTAAATTCTAGGGACGTACCTATAGTTATTTTTTGATTACAGAAGTAGTTAACGGGCATATTTGGTAACTAATAACATATTTATTATCGAATAAATGAAATAATTATTACGTCTATAAGCAGCTGTATGAGTTACTTTCGAAACTTTTTCTTTGACTATAACTTGTTTGTTATTGATTTAAATTTAATTTGCTTACGTTTGATTATTTTTATTTACGTTGATTGTTTAGTTTTAATACTCCTAAAGCCCCTAGTTAACTACTACTCTTAAGGAAATTAATCGTCCGATATCTGAGGAGATGATCCTGATACTTGAATTTAAGATTGTAGAGTAGGAATTTTAAATTTTGGTGTTTAACACCCATCATCAATATAGTCATAATTTCTTTATTGTGAATTGCTTTGTTTGGAGAAATAGAAGAAATATGCATAACACGTGTTTCTTTGTGTTTAGTCTTTCTAATCCCTATTTACTAGTCTTTATTTCTCTCTCACTTTAAGAAGGCAAACAAATAATCTTGTTATGCACGCTTAATTTGAGATCAAATCGAGAATCGACTCGACTAATACAAATATTTATCAACAGTCGTTTCAAATGCATATCCTTTTTTTTTTTTTTGGCATGGACTTCTCAACCTCATTCTTCTTGTCAAACACTGCCAATAATATGACTAATCGGGCAAGAACCGAACCTGCCAATGCTATGTGGCTCCCAAGAAGAAGGAAAAAAAAACCTGCTGATAAACCTGTGGACGATGCGTGGCCTTCTGTCATTGGATACACTTGGCAGGCCTGTATGGTTAATCGTAGCCAATTTTTGTATTTGGAAGAAAATACTTTAACAATTGCCAATGAAATTGATGGTTATATAATCAGAATTAAGCAGGCAGGCAGTAGTGTTGCATCCGAGCTGGTGCATTCATCTGCCAATTTAATATAAATATAAGAGGATGAGACGTGTGGACTGGCTAACATGTATCAATCAGCTTGATCCAATAATGCACACATGACGGCCCTGATGACTGACTTAAGAGGATGACTTGGACAAATCTCAATCTCCAATAATATTCATGAATTTTCTGCATTACATCACAGCAACATTTTGATTATTATTATTATTTTTTTTTAACAAAAGGACCAAGAAGGCATCTCTCCAAGGTTTTTACTTTAAGGTAAGCAGAGTTGTCAGGTGGTTCAAGCAATAAACGACCAACAACAACGAATTGAAGCCAAATAAAATAATAATGAACGGCCGGCCAAAACAATTGGAGGCTAGTCCCTTCTGATTTTGGATGAATTTGTGGTCCGGGATCTGCCAAGGGATCAATCTGTAATTTTGCCTCACATGCAGGCGCAGGCTCAGACTTCCGGGGTGTTGAAATGCCTTGAATCAGATCTTCGACTTTCGTTGAGTCCGTTTTAGTTTGGGTCTCGATTTTTGAGGCTAATGGTCCAGTACGTTTTGGTTATTTAGTTGTATATATATATACACCTTATATTCATTCTGTACAAAATATCGTATATATTTCGAATCCTAATAAAAATTTGATTTTTTCCAAATTTGTTATTGCTTATTCTTGTTTGTTCTTGCGTTCAGCTGCATCTGTTTTATCACGGCGGTTGAAAAATCAATCTTCGACTAAAATCTATAACTACACCACCATACTACTGCATAATGGATCATTCTTGATGCAAGGCTTCTGTTGACCAAGCATTTGAATAATAATTTTATATTATTGTTTGCTTCCTTTGTCATCCACTTACACGCAAAATGTACTAACACGAAACTGAGTTTGATTCCGAGGAAGCAAGTGGTGAAGGTCTCATTCATTCGCATGGTTTAAGCAAACTTTTCTTTTGCAAAAGAAACTACTACTTATTATGTATAGTATAGCGGCCAAATTTAAGACCAAAGGAAAGAAAATCAATTTTTCGGGTGCATAAAATAAAAGCCAAGATTGCACATTTTAAAACTAGTTTGGATTGTGCGACTGGGGAAGCAAAGTCAGTTGTCTAAAATTTCTTTCAGTAGACTTCTGGATTGCCACCGAACAGCCTTACTCCATTCTGTCAGTTCTCAGCCAACAGCCAACACAACAGCCAAAGCCAATCTTTAATTCTTTCTTCTGTGGAACAAATGTCAAAACCTTGGAACATGCAACATAAATTTGCATCAAATGTTCCTCGGCTTGTAGCAGTAGCAATTTATAAAACTTCAGTTACTTCCCGGTTCCCATGTCGGTTTTTTAGAATTACAGTACATCATTTTCTTCGGAGAGTTCAATAATAATAATAATATGTTATTGACTTATCTCTTATCTCGCATTGGAAATTGGAATTATACTGATGTGGTGTTGATATTGAATGCATAAGAATTGACTACTACTCTCTCCGTCCCACTTTGATAGTCCCATTTTTTTTTTCACACAGTTTAAGAAAAAATAGTTAACTTTGTTGGAAAAGTAAATTTAGATTACTATTTTTCTAAAATACCCTCACATTAAATATGGTACAACTTTATGAGAACTTGAATTGATGGTAAAAAAAGAATCAACTCTCATTAAATGGGGTAGGTTTATAGTAATAACAACTTACATTGAATAAGGGTATTTTAGGAAAATTAAAATACAACTATATTCTTCAATTGGAAAGTAGACTATAATTTGGGACAGACGAAAAAGGAAAACGAGACTATCAAAGTGGGACGGAGGGAGTATAACATGACACGAAGACCTAAAGGAGATTATCACGGATGTTTTCCAACCTTCAACTTAAAACAAGACCGGTAGTCAAAAAAAAAAACATGCAAAGGGTTCCAATTAACTGCCAGTCTGTTTAATGCAAGAAGCCCAACTGATTTTGAGTGATTTCTACTATATGGAAGCCGGCAAAAGTGTTCGTTTGGGCTTCAGAATTTGAGATTCGAGGTTTCAAAGAACTGTACCAGCCCAAGAGCCATTCTGTAGGCGTAGGGTCACAGTATAAGTTAGATGGCCTGCACGGTCACACTACCCGGAGAACGGAGTCAACAACTGGGGCCCAAAAAACATCAGCAATCTTGTCAGCATTGTATCAGTCACCAAATGATATTCAAATCCATCACCGTTCATTTTTCTTTGTTTTGCCTCTTCTGCTCCTGCTCTGATTTATACTAAGAAGAAGAGGAGGGAAGGCCGAGAGAGGCTAATTAGGGAATCGACGTGGATGAAATCACCGTCGAATCAAATAGATACACTGCTGTTTATTATTTACCCTAATAAACACCTAATCATCTACACTGAATATATTATTACAGTAAAACTTTTAAAAACTCCAAATCTTACGCAAGCAAACAAAATGACAGCGGGAAAAGCTTGAAGGTGGAAACTTCCCTATGCATGACCAACCTTTCTGCAGCTTGATGAGCTGTCTACTCATCTTTACCACGAGAAAGGCGAAACAACGCGTTGGACCAGGTGACCAACCCAGTCCTTCTTTTGCCCTTTTTTGGGCGGCGGGGCCGGGAATGGGGTGTGTGGGCCTGTGGGTTGGCAGTGGTACACTTTGGATCCTCGATCACGATTTCGAAATATGCTCCCCATCTATCTATTGGCACTGCAGACATGGAAAGAGGAGACACCCACATAGACTATGGAAAGCAGTCCCCAATAAAACGTTGGAATTTTTTCTTAAAAAAGCAGTCCCTACCTATCTCCTTTTTTTTTTTTTTTTTTTTTTTTGTGTCCAAGTGGTAGATTCAAAGGGGTTAATAGGAAATTCGGAGGAACTGAATAGTCATCAATCAAACTAGACAGATAGATGCCTTTGCTCCCATTGATAAATATTTTCAAAAAATTCTAAAGAAAAATGCAGGCCAAGGAATCAAGTATTCCAGAGGTGGTTAGGAGTCCTGCCCCCATCTGCTTCCACTGTAAATGTAATAGCCCACATCACCTGAAAGACTATACTATACTCTCAAGTCTAGTCTAGTTGTAGATAATTGGACAATTAATGGGGTACTTCTCTCTACCACTTTTTTATCAACTTCTCTCTACCACTTGGCGACCAATTTTTCCTACTCCACAATTTTTCAATCCACCACCATCTCAACGACAATGACGTCCATCCGACATTCCAAGTATGTTTTTTTTTTTTTTGGGGTCAACCATCACAATTTACTCTGCATCTCCTTCTACTCTTAAGTCTATCCTAGAAGGTGATTCAATTGAACAAAGAAAAATTAATAGAGATTGAACTATCTCCTTCTACTCTTAAGTCTATCGTAGAAGGTGATTCAATTGAACAAAGAAAAATTAATAGAGATTGAACTATGAAATCATACGAGTGCATTTTATGCTCATGTGAATTTGAAGGAGCTACCGTATAATCTAACAGAGTAATATGAATTTGAAGAAATAAGATAGATCGAACCATTGGCTCTGTTTGGATTGTAAATTATTTGAGATATTTTTACTGTAACACTTTTTGTGATGTGATGTATGTGAGATAAAAAGGTAATTGGGAAGATAAAAAGGTGCGTTGAAAATTGTAATGATGATGTAAGCAAATAAATTTTGACTAATAATTCTCTGTCCAAACAAACCCATTAATATTGGGATTGAACCATCGAACAAAGCCATACCACACTCCAATCTATAGTATATTTATTTACTAGAGTAGCATCCCGAGGTTGGAAGACTTAACCAATTCCTTCAGGTGGCGTTTGGTTCGCGTACCATTGAATCAAACACCAATTTTTGTACCAGTGAACCAAACACCAATTATGATATGGAGTTTATTCCATTCCTTAGTTCAGATACCTTTTTACCAAACGCCCCCTCAGTCTCTCTCACGACTGACTAATCAGCTGAAGTGCTACTAAATCGGCCCTTCGTCCGCGTTTACCAAACTTCATTTCCCCTCTTCCAAGCCCTAATAAAGATGCCCAATCTTCCGCGGGAGCTCATCACCGACATCCTCACCCGGCTGCCCGTCAAGTCCCTCCTGAGATTCAGGTGCGTATCGAAACCATGGTGCAGCTTGATTGATAGCCGTAGTTTCATCAAAATGCATCTGCTTCAGTCCAAAAAGACTGGCTCAAATTTGTTCCTCATGCTTGGATTCTTGGGGATTTATTCTGTTGAGTTGGATTCGCTCGACGCTGCAATAGGCTTCGCCCGCCATACTCCGCCTCAGATGTATCCAACTCTTGCAATGGCTTGATCCTTGTTTTGGCTAAAATCCCTTTTATTTGGAACCCCTTCACTCGAAAGTACAGGGAATTACCGGCTACTCCGGTCGAACAACCGGTTGATTTTGAGGTTGGTTCTGCTTATGTGACTCATGGGTTTGCTTATGATGCTGTGAATGATGATTATAGAGTGGTCAGGGTTGAGGAGTTTAGAGGCTTTGATTCGGAGTGGATTAGGTCTGAGGCGAAGCTTTATAGTTCTAAGTCGGATAAGTGGCGAAAGATCCAAAATTTCCCTTATCAGCTTCCTTATAAGCGGGCCTGGGGTGCTCATTTGAATGGTGTTTTGCATACGGGAGTGAGAACAGGGGATCTTGGTTACTTCGACTCGTCGATTTGGGCTTTTGATGTTCGGACTGAGCAGCATTATACCTTGCCAAAACCGGATTTTACAGGTACTGATCTTGAGTTCACTGTGGAGGTCTTGGGTGGTTGTCTGTGTTTGGTTCGTCCTCGAAAGAGGTATCGAACGGATGTATGGATAATGAAGGAATATGGAGTGAAAGAATCTTGGACTAAATTGCTAACAATCGCGCCTCCACTCGTTGAGCGGTATATTACCATTGGCCCGTTGGCTTATTCAAGGAACGGTGAAGAGGTTCTCTTAAACCACGACGATAAACAACTTATTTGGTATGATTTGAGAAGGAAGACTGTTAGGAATGTCTCTGTTGATGGTTTGCCATTTGTCTTTTATGCTGAGGTATGTGTTGCAAGCCTCATTCAGCCTGATGTCTCCGGAGAAGGGGATGAAACTGAGGAGCTACGCCAACAGGAGAAAAGTAGAGTGAAAAAAAGGTAAGTTGTTTCAATTGTCTAGAATTGTTGTGCTTTCTTCCGAGGCTATTCTTTCTCTTAAATACACATTTGCATGAACACACAGAAATATTACATATCATGTATACTAGGGCAAATTTAGTTCCTTGTGCTCTTCTTTGTGCTTTAGGCTTCGTAAGTGTGGCAGCATGACTAGTTGAGATTTTAATGATTACAGGTCTGGTTTTTTTCCCCACTGGTAATTACGGATATGAAGAAGCTGTCTGCTTCTATCTTTGTTAAGTCTTGTTTTTATCTCTCACACTGCATCTGTAGGCCTCACGCCGCATGCTTAATTTTCGCTTTGTTCTACTAGGGTTGATTTCCTGTCAGAGGGATTTAAACTGGTGCTATGAAAAAAATTGGCAGCAACTGGAGCGAACCAAGCTGGTAAGGTGTTTACTATTACACGGTATAATAAGTTTTGGATGCAATGATGACGTTTTTGAGATGATTGAGAGGGTGTTAATTTTATCATAACTCGGTAGATTTTCCAGACACAATGTTTGTTTTGCATTGAAAGAACTTTTTGAAACTAATTTATTCTCAGGGAACTTGCTGAACAGATGTGACAAGTCTTTTTCATACGGTTTTTCATGGATTGATGAAGTGAAGACACTGAAGAATAATGCTAGTCGTTTTCTTATGTAATCTTGAACTTTGTAGCCTCTTGTTGTAAATATGCACCTGATATCTTATTTTAACTGATGTATTTAGCTTTGGACTACTGAATACTATATCGATTGTGCGCTGTAGCTAACGCTAGGAATAATTATGCAATGCAACGCTGATGTTTTTAAGATGATTGAGAGGGTGATATTTTCATAATTTTTCCGACACAATGTTGTTTTGCATCAAAAGAAAGTTGGGAACTAATGCATTGTCTGGGAACTTGGTGAACAGATGTGAAAGTGTAGTTCATACAGTTTTGTACGATTGATGAAGTGAAGACAGTGAAGAGTAGTGCTAATCGTTTTGTTATGTAGTTTTAAAACCTTTTTTAGCCGCTTGTTGAATATATCCGCCTGATATCTTGTTTTGGCCAATGCATTTAACTTTGGAGTAGTGTGTGTGATATTAATTGCGTGCAGTAGCTGACACTGGCGTTTGTGTTTTTGCAATTTTTATATATCAAGGGACATGCTATAGTAAAATGTTGGTGATTCTAAGCTAAGAAGTTAGGTTGTGTTGCAAGGTGAAATGATCATTGATTTATGATGATCATCTGGAAGGCAGTTTGATGGAATGAGCTTTGTGCTATTTGTGGTGACTGGACAGAGCAGGTTGTATAATTAGGGCTTTAAAGAAATCTGGAACATGGCTTCACTTGGCATCAACGTTATCAGAGTCCCACTGTGGTATACCTGAACGAAGAAGAACCAAGACCTTGAGGTAATTCTCTGTTTCGACTCTCTTTGTTGGTCTCTTTAGCGTGTAGATATATTCTTTAAGAGTCAAATTATGTGTGAATGGGAGGCAATTTTGATTTCGCAAGATTGACAGTTTTTGAAATTTTTTTTTTTAAAATAATAATAATGTTTTAGCAATTTTTGGGATTGGAAAAGTTTTTGTGAAGCAACAGGTTTTTTTTTTTTTTTGGGCAATTAATGGGGATCTAGACAGGTCTTGGCCATTCTAAACTTGATTTTCCCTTCTTATAAGGAAGCTGGTCGGAATGATATATTTCTACAAATGAATGCAATTGAATGTTGTTAAAATGAAATACTTACAAATACTAAGCATTCGATTTGATAATCTTTCTTGAAGGTGCGAACACTCTTCACACCAATCCACTTTTAGTACGAAAGTCAAAATTGATAATTTAATTAACTATGTTGAATTTTGTGGAGTATGTACTACAAATGAAAATGCACGATCTTTGACGATATAAAAAACTGTATATTTACCATGATCACGCAAAAGTATTGGTGATGCGGATGGCTGTCGAACTTGAAGAGAGGCAATATTTTCATTTTTTTGATCTAGAAAAAATATATATATTAAATCAAAAATAAATAGTTTTTGTATTTATTTTATGTGTAGTAAGTGATACATTGTATGAGAATTGTTAACAAAAAAATACAATAGTTAATATAGAAGTAGCATCAATAGAATTTAATACAATTGTGTTGTAATCAAATGAAAATTACGCACCAATAGAATCGTTATTAGCACTCATGGTTAATGAAGTAATCCCTATATAAATATATTTTGGTATATGTAGACCCCCCAAATCCCGCAAAACCAATTACCACTTATTGAAAACAAACCAATAAATGCACTAAAATGCCTCCCATCTATACCTCAAATTGCACTTTAACCCATGAATTTTGTGCGAAATCATCCCTCTAATTGCTTTTGTCCTTTTCGGTTTTTTCACATGTCGCTAACTGCTTCATTCCCTCTGCTATCACTTGTATATTTAAAATCAATTTTTAATATTAAATAAAAAAGAATGTATTAGTTTATAATATGTTCATAATATAGATAAATTATTAAATTTGGAAAAGGGCGTATGTTCTTATAGGCTTATTTTCTTTTTTTTTTTTTGGGAAAATGAGTTTGTTCTTGTAATTTTTTTTTTATTTTTTGGATACAGAATTGTTTTTCAAAGATTTTGGTTCGTAGTCCCTACTATGTTTAAACCATCTTTTAATATCCAATTCAATATTGTCTTTTAATTTGGCAGCCTCTATAATTTTTAATTTATTCTTTTGGTTTAAGTTCAGTTAGAATTCCCAGATTTTTTTTTAAAATCACTGTCTTGAGTCAGGTAGAGCGCCGAAATATGAGTCAGGATTATTTCTTTTGTGCAGTTTCCTGATATCTGGTATGATATATAATTATGTCCCTTGGGTTTTTTTTTCATATAGATATCGTTAGGTCTTTGGCATCACTACTGAACATTATCCAAGTTTAGAAGGACGCGTTTTTTCTAATCCAGTGGATGCAAAAATACAAAAATATAAAGAATGAAGGTAATATTGTGATTCAAACTCTAAAAAGTAGGATACCATCATTCAAGAAGTTTCATGCCTTCTTTAGCATCTCAAAAAGATGCAACATAAAACAGTTATTTGAATGTTAATAAACTCTCTTTCTACCAATTTTGAAAGGCCAACCATTAAAAGTGAAGTGAAAATTATTGCAGTCAATGCAGAGAGAAAATGATAAAGAAAAGAAAGGCTAGAATGCAATTTTGCCAAAAGAATTTCTGACGAAATTAAAAATTAATCCAATTTTAATAATGGGAGTATAGTGCCTTAGTTATTAGTAGTATCTGAATTGTTTTTCTCTAATTATAAACCATTTTTAATTATTTTTTATTATAAAAAAATATATTTTTTTATTTCATGCACGATCATTTTTGGAATAAAATTATGAAAATAACTATCGTAACACCTTTTTTATGTGATAAATGTGCAATAAAAAATAATTAAAAAATTTCAGTAATACAAACAAATAAATTTTATAATATACAATTTATGTTAGAAATAGTAAAACCCTCAATCATGAATCTATACCATTCGCAATTATATAAGCAAGCAATACCTTATGTTAGAAATGCGATTGTGATTTTGTGTTTATATTTTATCTCACTATTGACTATCTTTGCTTTACAGTATAACAATAAGCAAACAACCGTTCATAGGATTTTGTAAAAAAATTTCAGAAATAATGGATGATCAGAAAATCAATGCAATATCATTCATGATAAAAAGCAAAGCAAAAGCAAAACATACTTAAAAGGCAGAGGGGACTGACCTGAAAAATTAAGTTGGCAAGAATATACTTCCAATTCTCCGCAAGAAGGTTGAGTTCTGCTAAAGTCTCTGCACATAATATCTTCCATTACTGCTCATAAAATAAACAAAATCAATACATTTACAAAATGAATAGAGAACAAAAAACAAATAAGAAAATGAGAGAGAGTGGGGGGTGAGATAGTGGGATAGTGGGAATAGAGAATTTGTAGGAGTGGTTATAGGATGAGTTAAGATAGTGGGATAGTGGGAGTGAGATAGTGGGAATATTGATGGGTGATAAGGTGGGTTATAACCCACTACATTTTATGTATTAAAATAAATACAAAAATCTAGAAAAAAGAATGAGAAATTTAGGGGTCATTGAGAGGGTTTCTGCTAAAAATCCCTTCCTGAATACATATAGATATAGATATAGATGGTGTTTATTTATTTTTGGCCCTCCCACGCTAACTATCATAGAATTCAATCACCGAGGAGGGCTGTTTTAAACTCTGATCTTGACAGCGATAGAAGTTTTTTTTGAATTAGAGAGTTCTAAAACTTTCTTCTTTTGGTTAATGGGCTTGGCCCGTGGTTTGGCGTTTGATTATTTGAAGAACCACGCTTTCAAAGTTGAAAGCACACAATTGATTTTAATAATTGGTAAAACCACAAAAAAAAAGATAAAGAAATCAATAAAATACATGTGTTATTGAAATAATAAATGGTGAATCATTGATTTTTTTGGGTCAATTATCAATAATTTAGGTCCCATTTGGATTGCATTTTTCGTCATTTTTATTAAAAAATTATTGTAATGATTTGATGTACGTAAGAAAAAAAAATTATAATAAAAAAATATGATTACGGAAAATTTGGTATTACTCTACTCATACGTTATGACATTGGTACGGTCTAATTGGGCTGGCTCGTGTAGCGGTCAAGGCGAGCCACCTCCTCGGGTAAGATAAATGCACTCGCACACTCTTTGAATTTTTTTCTTTGGTTGAATGCGTCGTTCAGTTCTAAATAAAACATTTATATAAGCAAACTACTACACTAGTAATATTTTACAGATGTAACTAACCTGGGCCGGCCACCGCACTTTGTAATGTCACGGGGGTCCCGCTGCTGTCCCCAACAGATTGCGTACTACTAAAGCAGGCCAGTAGGCCACAGCTCCAACAATAAGCAGCGGCACGTGTAGCCCTACACGCCTCTTTTTCGTCACAATCCCGCAACCACCCATCCCATCCCATCCCATGCCATCCCTTACTTGGCCACCCAAACCGAAAGCACCGCTCCGACCTACCCTAACATGGTGGATTGTTTCTCCGTCAGGCTGAAGCATATCATCCCCTTCAATGTCTCCTTCTGTGTGCTCCACTCCTCTTCCCTTACCCTCGCAAGTCCCCAGGATGCCGAATCTCCCCTGGGA